TTTCTGTTAATGGCATTGCTATTTCTGTTACTTACGCTTGTTGTGATAGCAATGCCCATCAACGATCAATATTCCATGTCATATCCTCTCAGTCCATGTCAGTGATTTCATCTGTCCAATTTGTTCATGAACCAGGTCATTATCTCTATCTTTCGGCAACCTAAGCATCCTTTGTGCATGTGGTTCCTGTATTATATTGTTTTTACATAGCCGATTGTTGTGAAGGCGAAAAAATTCAAATATGCTTGATCCTATGAACTACACTGCATTGCTTGCTAAATCGAAATTGCTTATAAGATATGTTCATCACCAAGAGGCATCATAGGTAGTTCTGGATATTGTACATAGGTTTTCCTCTGAGTTGCTCACATTTCTCATGTCTTTTATGGTGGGAACTATCATACAAGCGCAATGGCTCTGAATTGTTGCTTTCCCACCTCAATGTGTTTCTTTTTTTTTGATGAAGTTAATGGTTGTGTATTAAAGAAAAGGAAGGGGAGAACAGAGGACCTTCATGGTGACCCACTTGCCGGGTCCCTCGACAAAAAATGGGCTACCCTACAAAAGGGCCCTACGCAAAAAATATATGGGGCTGTTTAAATTGCCCATTGCAAAATGAACATAAAATGGCGAGGCTGGGGAGCAGAAGGTCGCATAACACCTGGGGTGTAAGTGGTGCTAGTCTCCATGTTGTATGGTGTTTGAAATTGCGCCTTTGCCCTCTGGTCCGCAAGGGAGTTAGAGGTCCTCCAAATGTGTGACCATAAGACAACTAGGGCCCTGCAAAGGTGCCTAATCTCATCGAAAGCAAAGGCGAGGTACCAAGGTGGGACTGCATGGCTAGCCGCCAAAGAGATTACATTTAAAGCATCTACTTCTATGATGAGGGAGCTGCCCCAAACGTGGTTGAACAGTTCGAGTCCGGTAAGAAGTGCCAAGGATTCAGAGGATTGGGAGTTTGCGTACCTATGGTCTTAGAGAAAGTTGTGAGAGTGTCGCCAAGGTGGTCTCTAAAGACCCCACCCCTCCTTCTGGTCTAAGCTTGCCGAGAGAGCAACTGTTAAAGTTGAATTTTACTATGCCCTCTAGAGATGGGACCCAATTTGAAGCGCGAGAGGGCCGAGGAGGCCGAAGAAGGATTAAGTTTTTCCAGTTAGGCAGGAAGGTTGATGCTGAGACTCCATGAAATTCCTTGTGGTGGGGGGCCCGAAAGATGACCTCGGAAATGATCTTATGGAAGAGGGCTGAATTCTCGCACTTGATGCCTCTGAAAATACGAGAATTTCTCGCAGTTCATAAAGCCCAAATGGTTGCTACGATGGATGCCCGCCATAAGATTCTCCCGGCTTTCGGCCAAGGGGTGTTCGCTGAAAGTTTGAACAGGTCAGGGATGGAGGCCGGGTTCACCCAGGTCAAGCCGAAAAGTAGCAGGATCCTGCCCCAAAGTTCGAAAGCAAAGTTACAATGGATGAACAGGTGAGAGTTAGACTCTTCTTCGCAGAGGCACATAGCACAACGGTTAGGGATTGGAATACCTTTGCGCTGCAGATGGTCAACAGTGAGGGCCTTGTGGGAGCCCGCTATCCAATTAAAAGCCTGAATTTTAGGGGGGGCTATAGAAGTCCACACTTTTGAAATCACAGAGGGTGGGTAATGAGGGAAGGTCAGATGTTCCAGGTGTTTCTTGTAAAAGGAAGAGACCGTAAAAAGGTTGGAGGGAGAGGGGGTCCAGACGAGATTGTCAAGGCCAGAGATGGCAAGAAAGGAGTGCAAGATAGAAGACAGGGAGAGAAACTCCTCAAATTCTGCCTCAGATAAAGACTGTTTGAAAACCCTTTTGTTGCCAGAGAGTAACATCTCATCGGCAACCAAGGAGGAAACGTTGGTGGCAAGGTTGAACAGAGAGGGGAAGCGCTCCCTAAAAAGGGTGTATGACCCAACCACAGGTAAGACCAGAAGCAGACTCTGTGTCCTTCACTAGGGTGGAATCTGATAAATTTCGTAAAGCTGGAAAGGGAGGAGAGGAAGGACTTCCAAGCCCTTGAAGGTCTTCTTGTGGCACCATTTGTTGGAAGCCAGGTTTTGAATGGGATCCTGTACTTTTGTCGCACCACTTCTGTCCATAGCAAGTTATTTTGGGTCGCCAAACGCCACCACCACTGTCCGAGCAGGGCTGAATTTTGTTTTTGGAGGTTGCGAATACCCAGCCCACCAATGTGTTTGGGTTGGCACACTTTGTCCCAGGCGATGAGGTGGAATTTATTGGATTCTGCTTTCCCAGACCACAGAAAGTTCCTCATGAGTTGTTCCAGCCGACTAGCTACAGTCGCTGGCACATGGAAAAGGGACATGTTGTACACTGGAGTATTAGCCAGAGTGGCTTTAATGAGAGTATTTCTTCATGCGAAGGATAGGTATATACCTTTCTAGCCTGCCAAGCGACGATATACTTTGTCTATGATGTGGGACCATTGCCTCTTTTTGGGTTTCCCTAACCCCAGTGGCATTCCTAGGTAAGATGTGGGTAGGTCATCAACTTTACAGTCCCATTCAAGGATTAGGGTATGGGAAAGAGCCACCCCTATCATGGTTGATTTTTCCATATTGACTTTGAACCCTGTAGCAAATTCAAAAACTTCGAGGAAAAGGCGGAGGTACTCAATTTCAGCGGGGGTAGCATCTATAAAACCAATGTATTGTCGGCGAATTGGAGGTGAGAGACCACAAGGCCTCTAGGGCTACTTTTGAAGCCGAAAAGAAGACCAGCCTAGAGGAGGGAAAGAAGCCTTTAGGGGCTTCATTGATGAGGATTGAAACGAAGGGGTTAGAGAAGACCAGCCTAGACGAGGGAAAGAAGCCTTTAGGGGCTCCATTGATGAGGATTGAAACGAAGGGGTTAGAGTAGCACCCCCTCATCCAATTCCTTTAGCGCATCCCAAAGCCCATTTTAGTCATTGTTTCATCCAATAAGGACCAGTCTACATGGTTGTAGGCCTTTTCCTAGTCTATCTTGAAGAAGAGACCTGGTTTTTTGGCTGTCTGGAGTGAAGGCATTCATGCACCACTAGGACGCCGTCCAAGATCTTCCTCCCTTTGATTAAGGCACTCTGGGAGCAAGAGATTACAAGAGGTAGGACCTTTTTGAGTCCGAAAGCTAGCACTTTAGAGAGAATCTTGTAGGTTGAGTTGATCAAATTTATCGGCCGAAAATCCTTCAGTTCTTTAGCACCCGCTTTTTTGGGAACAAGGGCGATGAAGGTTGCATTCATCGCTTTGTGAAGGATACCTCTATGGTAGAATTCGTTCATAAAGTTGAGGAAGTTTGGCCGGAAGGTTTCCCAAAAGACTAAAAAGGGGGCTGCCGAAAACCCGTCGGGGCCGGGAGCTTTGTCTTTCCCGATCTCCTTGGTAGAGGCCAGGATTTCAGATTCCATGAACGGCCTTTCCAGCCATCCGGTCCAATGGTCTGAGATGGAAAGGAACTGGATATCCCCCATTCTAGGCTTGGGGGTGAGGGGTGCCTTATATAGATTCTGAAAAAAGGAGAGGATGGCCAATTCGATGTCCTGTGGTTGATCTAATACCCTGTTTCCTACCTTGATGGTAGAAATTGAGTTGTCCCTTCTACGACAATTGGCGATCCTGTGAAAAAACCTTGTGTTATGATCCCCAGCTTGTAGCCATTTGACCTTGGACCTCTGGTACCAGTGGATCTCCTCTTTCTTAAGGGTAGAGAAGTATTCCAGTTTAAGTTGGGTCTGCAGTTGTGGTCAGAGAGAGAGAGTGGCTGGGATTCTTCTGCATGATCAAGGGCGCTGATAGCTTGTAGGTGGTTATGTTTGGTTTGTGAGAAGTTCCCAGTGAGGGTTTTGCTCCAAACTTTAAGAGAAGCCTTCAAGAGTTGAACTTTGGTTTGTAGCCTGTAGTCTGCCCTCCTGGTGACCACGGAGGCAAAAGACGCCCAGCACCAAGCAGGGCTTAGAAAGGAAAGGGAACCTTCTTCAAGGCCCCTTCAGAGGGAGACCTTTTGCGGATCGAGAGGGTAGCTCCTTTGAAATTGAGCATAGAGCTGGATTGGAGGGCACGAGAAGCACTCTCTTATGACGGGAAGCTGAAGAGGAATTCCCCATCCAAAAGGCGACGGCAGGTGAGGTCAGGTTTAGTCCAGGTTTGTTGTCCTCACTTCTCTATAGCTTCAAAGTCATCTCTTCTGGGCTGGAAGAATCCTACAAGAGGAGCAGAGTTTGGATTTGAGTGGTCAGGGGTGGGAACAATGAAAGGTACAAATGGTGAGGGAGGCCAAGGTGGAGGGGAGGGTAGAGGGTTGGGTGGACGAGACGGCTTAGCGGCCTGAGGAGGAGCGGGAGGTGAGGTGACAACCTGGGCGTAGGTAGCATGGGGGTGGGCGAAGAGAGTCTCAGGGTTAGGGGGATAAGGGAGACAAAGGGGGAGGAAGAGAGGGTGAGGGGCGAGCGTAGAGACTGTAGATCTGTCTCCAGTCTGAGGGAGGGAACCAGCGGTTGCGGGTTCTCATTCTTCTTCATTAAAATTCACATTCCGACCTCAATGTGTTTCAACAGTGAATATCAGGATTGCATTGCTGGATGCTCTGTTTCCTCCTCCAAATTGGTTAACAACCTCATAATTTACTATATCAAAGTTTCATCTTTTGCATCTGGAGATAGTGTGCTTTTAACTTTGTGCATGGCTGCATCTTTAAATGCAAGCATGCGTAAATGCCCACCTTCAATATGTTTTTTATGTTCCTTATAGGCTCTCTGGTGCGAGAAAACATCCATGCATATCAAAATTCTATTTAGATTTTTTTTGTCTTATTCTGTATGTATCTCGTGCTTGTGCTTGATATAATTGTATGGCTCCTGAGTTATGCACCGATTTTTCATTTCCTTGATGATAATGATTCTCTTAGACAGAGAAAAGAACTTATACCTGCACTTTCTGTCTCTTTTGTTATCGAAGTGTGGTTTTGTAAATTTCAGGGTCCTGGTGGAAGGCCGGGTTTTGGGCGTGGAGCTGGTGGTTTTGGTGCGGGACCTGCAAGCTCCAGTTTTGCTTAATAGAATTAGCTTTAGCAGTTGGTATTTATTTTAGTGTTTTCGCTTTCACTGAAATTTTGGGGTGTGGATTATTCTCTGGGATGTGCTCCGGTCTGAAAATTTTTCATTTGTTCTATCAACATAAGAGTAGCTGAAGGGCATATACTGATTAAAAGAGAATTTTAATTAGTCTTCGTACTTTCCTTGTAAGGCGCTAAGTGGGTTTTAAGAGTTTTGGTTTGGTTCCTTCTTTTTCGGGTTAAGTTCTGGATGTGTGCATATTTACAGTCTCTCTCTGTCTCCCTCTGGATTGTGTGCATATTTACCAGTCTCGCTCTCTCTCTCTCTCTCTTGCACACAGCCTACATGCAAACACAATATACAGAGCTGCTTGCATAAATCAAGATTTTCGTTGGTGGGCTCGTATGACAGATAATCATATCAGTCAGATGCTCGGATGTAATCGGGAGAAGGAAATGCATCATATTTCTTACTTATTTAGCCATTTCTTGGGGTATGCTTGTTTCGCCTGAAAATAGTTTTCAAGAAATATTTTTACGTGAAAATATTCTTTAATGTAGTTGTGGAAATATTTTTATGCCAATTGGTCCCCGTAATCTTTCCAGTAATCTTTTTACACCAAGTCGCAGCTAATTGGTGTGAAAATGGTCTCCCATCCAATCACATGAGAGAACTTTTCACACCTGTGCCAAATGTCCTTAGTTTGTAGGAACAAGGCAAATGATGTGGTTCACTTATTCTCCCCGTTTTTTTTTAGTTGTTCAGTCTCCCTCTCCTATCTTTAAAATATTAGAGACTTTTATCATTATGGAATCTGTAAACGCATATTCAACCAAATCTAGAAAAAGCCCAACAACAGCTGCTGTAAAATTTCCCCAAATTTGCCGCCCCATGAGTTCAGCCAAGTGGTTGAGCAAGACAAAAAAACCAGACCCTACCAAGAACGCCACAAAAATCATTTACAATGAAAATTGCGGGGAAGGAAGCATGGTATAGAACTGCTTGGATGCCGATGATGACACCGACCCCCTCGAGTACTCAAAATTAGGGGCTGATATCAAGAGGGGAGGGTCGCATAGGTTTGTCGGAGACTTGTTGGAACTGCATTTTCTGGTGACAGCATTCTTGAGGCCCTCTTGAACTACTCAGGTGAACACTGCTCTTATGAAAAGCAGTCCACCAAATCACTTTGGTGGTTTTGGAACATTTTTATTGACCGATTATTTTATGGTTACCTGAACACTATAGATCAGGGGGGCCTAGAGCAAGTTCCCAGCCTTCTCTGAGCCAGCCAGTTTCTCTGGAGCCAAAGAAAGAGAGGGGGGAGGAGGAGGAGGAGGAGGAGGAGGAGGAGGGAGGGGGGGAATGGTGGTGGTTTGTCTCCTCTTCTGTTTTGCAATTTGAATGATTTTGGCATTTTCGAGAAGAAAATATATAACTTGGTAAAAACATTAAGAATTATGTATACATTGCTAATGGTAGTAGTATTTAATTGAATCTCTTATCACATGCCCTTGGTTTATTTCATTGGAGTTGCTAGGAGCAAATGTTGGTTGATTTGTTTTAGGGGGGCATATATTAGACACACACTCCCCTTTCCCTCATCCACGGTTATTGAATAGTGAAGGTTGATTGGGTACAGATGCATGAGCTAGATTGTACTCTCAACCCCTCTTTGTTTCAATCAATGTATGAGGATGATGTGGCTAGGGTTGTGACAAGGTCCAGATTGTGAAATGGACTAGAACCGCATGGGTAAGATGCAAGAACCCAAGGTCATGCGAATATGCAAATGGCTAGCCGGTAGGATTGGCTAAGATAGAGTCTCAAGTTTCTTTGAAGAGAACTCAATGTGTATTGATAGATGTATTGAATATACAAACTCTGTACAAATATACAACACGACATGACAAGAACAGAAAGATATTGTTGATACCTTACAATGCAACCAATATTACCATAATGAGGTATATATTTGTTTACAAACATATCCATAATATTCATTTTCTATAATACCCCAAATTCAAACTCAAGATACTTTAAGAGAGAGCAGTAAGAGGTTGAACAATAAGTAGCGCAATTAAACACTTGAGTTGGCCTTTGTAAGAAGATTTGTTAATTGATCCTTTGAAGAAACAAATGATAGAGTAATAATGCTCTGAAGAAAATGATGACAAACAAAGTGACAATCAATTTCAATATGTACTTCACGTGCTCATGAAACATATCATTATGAACCATCTGAATCTCTTGTCACAAAAAGTATAGTAGGACCAGATTGAACAACACCCATATCTTGAAGAAGCCACTGCAACCAGATAATTTCAATGGCAATATGCGCAAGAACATGGACTAATTTTTTGAAAGAGAGGACTTGTGGGGACTACAGTTCACGACAACTATTTATTTTATCATTAATTTGTAATCATTTGTTGAAACTGTATCTAATGGTTTCTTCCGACTCTGCTCAACCCATCAATATTATATTGGATGGCTCAATCCTTGCTCTAATACCATGATAGAGCCTCAACTTTCTATAGAGAGAACTCATTTTATATTGATATCTATATTGAATATACAAACTCTGTATGACTTTACAACAAGACATGACAAGAATAGAAAGATATTCTTGATACCTGACCATACACCCAATCTTACTATAATGAGATATACTTTTATTGACAAGCATATCCATTCCCCACCCTGGGACACTATGGGCCCAGCCCCGGCCTTGATTGGTGGCTGGTTGAACTCGGCGTAACTTATTGGTCGTTTGAGCCAAGCCATGCACTAGCCTTGCCTAAGTTAAGCTGGGCCGGTATTGACTTTTTCTTTAGGCATTTTGAAAACGGTGCAGTTTGTATAGAGCCGAGGCTCTAAACAATCAAATTAGAGCCCACCTTCAAATAGTATCAAGAAATATGGTTTCAATATTGGAAATTTTTGTGATAGCCTCACAATATATTTTCATATTTAATTATAAAATTTAAAGCTTCAAAAATAGCATAGATCGAGCAAATCTATAAAAACTTGAAAATCTTGAAAATTGACGGTCCAAAAATGCATCACAATACGCACTATTTCCAAAACTTGTATTTTTTTCTCATGTCCATATATCTTGATGTCTAGATGATCAATTTGATGATATTTAGGGATCAAAACAACCTCGTCTAGTGAAATTTTTGAGGTAGGCTCTAATTTGATTGTTTAGAGCCTAAGCTCTATATAAACTTTTCCCTTTTGAAAAACATACGCATTTTTTAGAGCAGGTTAGGTAAGATTCAAACGTGAGTGACAAACAATGAAAATGTAAACCATTAAGCAATATGTATATAGGTTACCTTTAGAATGGGTGACCATTGAATTATTTTTGTTGCTCCTACTTATTATTAGAATGGGTACGAATTGTTGAATTATATTAACTGCATGTGCTTTTATAATGGGAAAAATGTTTTCATGAGGTTGTAGCCCTCAAAACTCATTGAAATCTGTGGTTCTATTGTTGGAAAGCCTATAAATCGATCATCTCAGTATGTTGTGAAAAAAATTAAGATCTTAAGTCTTAAAAATAATTTATATTATAATACATTATCTAGACTATCAATTTTTCCCTAAAAATAAATGTTCACAAATCCACAATATATGTACCATTTTGTGAACTTCAAATTTCATAGTCAGTATTAAAAAATGATTCTAGAGCTATTGTGGATATTTCCGACACTCAAAATGCTTGCCGGACAAGGATTCGAGGTGAGGCTTTACTTTGTTTTTCTTAAAATCTAGGCCTCACGGAAATAGCATCGTAGAGCAAGCATACTTTTATCATTTGGAAAAACATTAGCTGATATTTATTTTTGTCATTTAAAAGTTTATTCTATGACTATATATGTGATATTTTTCTTCACTTTTTTGTTCTCCTTTGTCCCCCGTATAACGAACCAACTTCAATGTGACCTCAAAGCTCATCCCAAGCCTGTAGCACCCTTCAAAACTTTGCCACTCCTTCCACTTTGCTCATTCCTCTTTTGACGAATCAGGTTCACAAGGAAAGCTTCTCCAGCTCAGCAACTCATGCATACAACTTCTCTAATCCTTCTTTTCAATTGGAAATCCATGTCCACCCAATAGACACCTTTTCCTTGAGCCATGGATTTGAAGTTTGAAGCCAATTGAGCAATCCTTCTCTCTTTTAAGCAAATGAATTCTCCTTGCCATCTGTTTTCGTTCTCGTTCTCTCGGGAAATCCATGTCCACCCAATAGACACCTTTCCCTTGAGCCATGGATTTGAAGTTTGAGGCCAATTGAGTAATCCGTCTCCCTTTTAAGAAAATGAATTCTCCTTCATCCGTTTTCGTTCTCTTGGGAAATCCATGTCCACGCAATAGACACCTTTCCCTTGAGCCATGGATTTAAGGTTTGACGCCAATCGAGCAATTCTTGTCTCTTTTAAGCAAATGAAATCTCATTCCGATCTGTTTTCGTTCACTCCCCTCGAAACCAACATAATTCTCACTCCCCTACCTCTTCTCTTATGCGTCCCAATATCTCATAGATCCTTTCAGAATCAGGATGCTTAGTATCCCCCACCATGAATCTATGAACGTTTCCTCTCACCTCTACACAGCTCCATCCTGCCTCTTTATGCAAGCCCTCGCTCTTCATCTCAGCTCTCAGCTTTAAAGCATCGGCCCATCTCCCTGCTCCTGCATATATATTTGAAAGAACAACTTTCCAAGTCGCATTTTCAGGTTCTAAAGCTTCAATTCTTTCTGCAACTCTCTCTGCAACCTCGACTTCCCTATGCAAATGGCAAGCACCCAAAAGAGCCCCCCACAAAGATGCATTTGGCCTCATCCCCATTTTGTTTAAAAACTGCTCTGCTTCTTTCACTTGTCCTGACCTCCCCAAGAGATCCACCACACACCCATAATGCTCAATTCCTGGTTTGATCCCAAATTTTTTGAACATGCTTTCAAAAATATTGAGACCATGTTCTATCAATCCTGAATGAACACATGCAGATAATACACAGACCAGGGTTCTCTGATCAGGCTCTTGAATACCCAAGTTTTGCATTTTATTGAAAAGTTCCAGAGAAGAATTGCCGTATCCATGAGTTCCATAGGCTGATATCATTGAATTCCATGAACCCAAATCTTTTCCGGGCATCTCAGTAAATACCTGTTCTGATAGATCAAGCCTACCTGACTTGGCATACATATCTATAAGGGAATTGCCGATATAAATGTCAAACTCTAGACCTGATTTCATTATGAATGCATGGATGATCTCACCTTTATGTAGAGATGCAAGTTGTGCACATCCCTGAAGAGCCACAAGCATTGTAATGGAGTCTGGCCTTATGTTGTTGCAATCCCTTCGATGGATTTTAGCGAAAAGTTCAAGAGCACCAACGGTGTGGCCATTATGAACATAGCATAGAATCAAAGTGTTCCAAGAGACTATGTCTCTCTTGGGCATCTCTAGAAACAGTTGACGCACGGGATCTATTTCTCCATGCTTTGAGTACATGTCCATGAGAGAATTCTCTATCATCAGAAATGGAAGATATCCATGTTTAACAAGATATCCGTGTATCCCTTTTCCCTCTTTCAAAGAATCACAACATTGAAGCAGACTGGCCATGGTTTCTGGACAGAGATACTCACCCATGGAACAGATTTTGTTAAGCATTTGAAGAGCTTCAATGGCTGATTCAGACCTCGCAGAGCCTGCAACAATGGCATCCCATGATTCCCTGTTCTTCTCAGGAAGCTTGTCAAAGACCAGGTGTGCACACTCCATGAGTTCAATTCGAGCATACATTTCTATCAAAGAATTCATCACGAACAAATTGCTCCATAAATCTGGTTTTTTCATTACAAAACCATGGATCCACTTACAAATGAAAGACTCTTCTGTAAAGGCACAAGCTCGAATTATGTTTGAAACTGTGTAAGAATTTGGGGTCACTTTTTCTTGCCCCATCTGATGAAAAAGCATCAAGGCCTCATCTATCAGGCCATTTACCACAAACCCATCAATCAAACAAGTCCATGAAACCACATCTCTAAAACCCATTCTGTCAAATACAGTTTGGGCTGAGACCAAAGACCCACACTTTATATACATATCTATGAGACTGTTCTCCAAGAACCCACTCTCAAAACACCAATTTCTGATCAAGTAAGCATGGACAGACTGGCCTTTCTTCAACTCTCCGACTTGAGCACAAGCTCGAAGCAAAACTGCCATTGTAAACTCATTTGGCCAAACACAATCTCTAATCAATTGGGAAAACAATTCCATGGATTCACGAGAAGCCCCATTCCGCAAAAAACCAGAGATCATCGAAGTCCAAGAAACCACGTTCCTTTCATTCATTCTATCAAAAACTTGGCGAGCAACCACTAAGCTTCCACATTTCACATACATATCAACCAGAGAATTGTACAGAATAACATCAGAGAACCCAGGGCCAAGCTTTACCATTTCCCCATGAACAGATTGCCCGAAATCCAAATTATTTAAAGAAGCACAAGCGTTGATGGCCTTCGACATGGTTACTCGATCCGGCAAAAGATGGCACTCCCTCAACTGGGTATAAGAAACCAAGGTTTCATGGGGTAAACGACTGTGCGAGGAAGGGGAGATGGTTTTAGAAAAGAGCATTTGTTGGTTTTGAATGGTGCAAAGGGGGAGGAGAGAGAAAGTGAGAAGTTGGAACTTTGGGTGGAGAGAGAAGATAATGGAAGAGTGTTTTGGAGGAAGGGAAGTGGATTTGAAGGGTTGAGGAAGTTGCAGGACAGATGATGATGCCACCATTTCTACTTCTCAGCCAAATTCAGATATATCTCTCTCCCTCTGAAAAGATTCAGATCTCTCTCTCTCATAAGAAAGATTGCAGAAAGAAGTAAAAAAAAAAAAGATGTAAGAGCAAATAATCTCTCTCTAATAAGAAAGATTGCAGAAAGACGTAAAAAAAAAAAAAATTGTAAAAGAAAATAAGAAGAAAGAAGTAAAAAAAAAATTGAAAGAGAAAATAATCTCTCTTCAGAAATGATCTCTCTCTAATAAGAGAGATTGCAGAAAGAAGTAAAATAAAAGGTCAAAAGAAAACATCAACCGTCGCCTGAGAGATTCGAACTCTCGCGGGGAAACCCCATGTACTTAGCAGGCACACGCCTTAACCACTCGGCCAAAGCGACGACTTATTGTGCACTGGAAGCTACATATTGTTATTAAATAGTTGTAGCAAAGCTACGGCTGCATGTCTAACGTTGAAACCGCGGAGAAATATGGAAAAGCCTTGTGATGGGCTGAAATTCTATTTTATTACCCCCGTTATTTTTTTAGGATTTAAGAACTCTCTTGAATGTGAAAATAGGAATTTGTTGGATTTCACCATAATTGTGCCCTTAACTGACTAGAAACAAACTTAGTGAGAATAAGAACCATAATACTAGAATTCGGGCATAAACGAGTATATTATAAGAATATACACTTATTGACATGGTTCACCTCAAGCGTCTACATCCATGTGCAGGGCAAATGAAATCTATCATATCAATGAGAGTTGCATCACGGATTTTAGGACACATAATTACTTATCGAACTATTGACAAAATCCAAATCCAAACAATCAATTTATATACGAGTTTTCTTGACCAACATTACCTCCTAATATCCCATATCTATTCCACAATGAAAACACTCTTCGGGAAGAGATCTTAAGCATAGACTTGTCCCTTATTAAAAGGGAAAACTAACTAAAATTTTTATAAGATATACTTCTCTACAAGAAACCAACTTCTCACTTTGAATGAAGCACTATTGTACTATTTTTTTCATAAAAAGCTCATTTCTATCTAAGAAGAGGCATTGTCTCTCATACACAAGAGGCCCTTATCTCTCTTTCCCATATAGTAATCATGTTAAGACACAAAAATTCTTTTTTTTTTTTTTTGGTTAGTTAGGCACACCTATTCTTTCATCTCTCTTATTTCATATATATAAGGTTATGATATGAATTCCATATCATATAAAAATTTCATAGATGTCACATATATCTCAAATTTAAGATATAACCGCGAGTCCTAATCTAGCTCGACTTCAATACGCATCCTAACTAATTTAGAAAACTTATTAATATCAATATTAATTTTATATAACATGGGATTTTCTTATTGGGGTGATTTTGGATATTATCGTATCCAACAAGTACGACACTTAAAGTTCCAAAACAATGAGCACATTTTAAGCACTTGAAACTAGATTGTTTAGATTACAAGATATGCCATTTTTATAATTGAAAGCGAGGTCCACAAGAACTTTTCAAAATGGTACCTTGAGAAATCTAGATCCATAATTATAAGGATGATATTTATATGAGGCATCGATCTTGAACTTGAGTAAAACACATTAAAAAGCCATAAAAACAAGTTGTTCCAAAGCTGTAAAACCCTCAATCAATCATGTCGATCTTTAAGATGTATAGATATGAAAACAAAGCATTTCAAATTCTAAAATTCTGTATTTTGTAACACACTATCCAACCCATTTTTTTTCAAAATTGTTGAGCATTTATAGATTTGTTCAATCTATATTTTTCTTGAAGTTTTAAATTTCATAATAAATGTATATCCTAGGCTTCCACGAAGAATATTCTACATTTCTTCCCTCGAACACAATATTTGTTCGGGAGGATATTTTTTAAAACTAAAATTTTGGCAACCACCTAAAATCTCTCAATGATTATTTTGAAAAGGTGCAATTATAGCGTTAAAGCATAGAAACCCCTAATTTTCGAAAGTTAATCAGCTCTATTATTTGTTTTCTGAAAGATTCAGTTGAAAGAGACTATGGTTGAAAGATACGTGAAGCACATGTGATGAGCATAACGCCATAATATTGACCCAAAATCCAAAAAGAGACTAGGAGACTCTTTGTTCCAAAGTACACTATTTGATAACGTTAAGAGAGTCATCTTTTACCCTAAAGTTTGAGGACCTAAAAATATTCTTAAAGTAAAATTGGAATTAAATGCTATGATACTACTTATTTTTGTTACAAGATCCCAATTACCTTATAGTCATTAGACGTTAAATTGGATTGCTTAAGACGTGTCAAGTAAAAATTAATTTTTCTTCGTGAACTTTAAAGTTAATGACACCCTTACGACCACGAGTTTTGAAATATGACGAATTAGGAGCAATTTTTACCCCCTTCACCAAAAGAAAGAAGTGGTCGTCTTCCGCTCGTTTCCATTAGAATTTACCAGAGAGAGTGAATGTACAGTGTGCTCCTATTACAAGGTACAGTGTTTTGCTGCGCCATAACACATTTTGCTCTGTAGTTCGGAGTTACTATTTGTGGTAAAAAGAAATCCAAACAACCACCTACCCCGCGGATGCTCGCTCACGCGCAGACGCGGGAAGAAGACGCAATGCATTTCTTCCATCTTCTCTCTCTCTAAGCTGCCTGTGACTTTCTCTCTCTTAGTTGCCTGTGACTTTCGCTCTCTTAGTTGCCTGTGACCTTCTCTCTCTACTCATATGCTTATTACTGAATTGATGGCCAAAGCTCTGAAACTGTCCAGGAGATCAGCACCTCGCCGATCTTCTCCCATGGCCTCTGCAGCAACCCCTTCAAGGAGCAACACTGTCTCCGTTGCCCATCGCTCTTCTTCAACCACTGTTGCCCTCTTGGTCTCTTCTTTCTTTGCTGGTTTTCTCTTGTTGGGTCTTCTGTTTTATGCAGCTCCCATCAATGGCCTCTGGTCGTCCGTGTCTGCTTCTATCTATACCATTGAAGTTGTTAATGAGTTTCCTCATGATCCTCAAGCCTTTACTCAGGTACAGACACCTCGATTTCTTCATTTTCTTCAACTTGCGATGAAGGCCTGGTTTTTGAATAATTTGCATAATTTGATCTTTTTTTTGCAAATTATCGGTAGCTTGGGATTCTCAATTTGGCCTTAGAAAATCTTCTTGCCATTAAAATGTGTTATATATAAACTTTTGCTTCGATTGTCGCCCGATTGATGTTAATGAGCGTTGTGGATCTTCAACAGCAAGAGTTTACGAAGTTCTCCTTCTTCTTTCTAATTCTTGCTTAAGCTGTTTCAAGATAAAGATATTGCCTTTGGGTATTTTTTGAGTCTATGCCAAGTTCAATAGATCATTTAAGTTTTGGCTGCATAGTGAAGGTCGTTAGTGGTTGTAGGTTACATTGCTGGTAATTTCTTTTCTCCAATCGATTAATGGGAAATCTGGTACATGTTTCTGAATGGACCAAAAATCTTTTTTGTTTGGCTGAATTGATGAGAAATGGATTTTTCATGTTCTTTCTCTCAGGGGCTCCTTTATGCTGGAAACGATACTCTATATGAGTCAACTGGTCTTAATGGACATGTAAGTTGAACTCCTTGTCTTCCCCTTCTATATTCTGTTTTTTTTTTTTTTCTCTTTTTCTCTCTCTGCTCCATATCTTTGCTCATTATGATTTTGCTTTAATTCATTATAACCCAATTTCATTTTACGTGACTGAAGGAAAAAGTAATTTGTCTATGGCCTAATGTTTTGACTCTGGTTGTCTTCTATTTTGGAGCTTCCCATTGTCCTGTATGTAATCTTAGAAATTGTTAAGGTGCTTTCACCTTGAGCATTCTATATCTTCATCTTGGAAACATCATGATGATGGTTAATTTCATCCTGTATGCACTTTGAAAAGAATTAAGAGCAGCTTAATTATCCGCTCTTTCAATAATTGGCACAAGAAGTACCGTAACATGAAATCTAGTTAGTCAGTCATTCACTGAGGGGTTAGATTTTTTTTGTGGTTTGTGGAATCCACATACTGTCATGCACGATGAACATCTCAATCTGTTGGCCTTTTTTTTGGTAAGTATTAATTTCACTGAACGAAACATAAAGCACCTTGTCTGACCTCATGCTTGGGAAGCGTTTCATGGCATGGATTAAACATCAGGGGCAGGTTTTGGAACCTCTAGTTTTGCTAACTTATTATCCGCAATATAGCTCCATATGCATTCTGTATGTTTAGATCTTAAAAGAAATAATGAGATGCTTGAGAGTAGCATGACATGCCTTGAAACTCAACCAGAAGTACAGGGAGTTCTTATGAAGGTTACAGTCTCGGGGGCATAAGACCACTTGGTTAGATCATGGATATGGGCTTTCAAGTCTTAGTGTCAAGGGTGTTTAGGCTTGACACATATGAGGGTGGTCAACAAGGTCCGAAGGCAATTGTCCTTGGCATTTTTGTCCTTGGCATTTTTGTCAAATTCTATCAGTAGGAACGTTGTATAGAGTGGTGTTCTTGCTTTCGAAACTAACACTCCTTATGCACTTCCTTGGTGTTCCTAATGGAATATTGCTTCTCTATTTGCTGTTGCTGTTGCTTGATTGTTTTTCGTTTTCCATTGTACTTGTTCCGTTTCCTCCCTGCTACTTTGGGAAGACTCTGTATGCTCTAAAAACAGTCATTATGCAATGCTCTGAAAATGGTTATTCCATAATACATATACTTTATTATGTACTTGGTCTGCTGAAACAAGCTAGTATTTCTCTGGTCTTATTGTATTGTTTCCATGTTCTTGTTCTATAGGTGTTTATGTGCTTGAGTACAAATGTGTATGATTAAGTTAGCAACTGTGGGCAGGTGGCGAAAAAAAGGAACAACATTGGTCATATTGTTGTATCCTCAAAGGAACTTTGGCATTTGCCTTTATTTATTTGCTACAGTACAGCATTGTCAAGTTTGATTAGTCATAGACTGAGTGGCATGCTAATCTTTTCTATATTATAAAAAAGAAATCTGTTTTACCTTCTGATTTTTCTGTTTATTGCATTGATCTTTACATCTGAATGATGCTTCTTTATACTGTTATTTAATTCGTTAAACATATTTCCCAAGTATGCTTATTAACAAGGTGATTTGTTAGTTATATATACCTCTGTTCTGTATGATGCTTATTTACATAGTTATTTGTTTTGTCGTATTTTGCAATGTTTCGATGTATTATAAGTTTTTTGCTTGGAAATCATGCTGACATTTTATTAACCTTTGTTTGTTGAAAGTCATCAGTTCGCCGTGTGCATATGCCGACTGGAAAGGTAAAGATCTTTACACTTTCACATTAGAACGTTTGATTTACTCGGGTGTCTTGGTTGAAAGTTATTTCTTTTCCCAGGATTGACTGCCTCCTCATAGACAGTTTATGCCAATATCTTTTGTTCTCTCTTTGTATATCTTTAGGTTGAGGATATTCATCGCATGGATCATTCTCAGTTTGGAGAAGGTCTTACTCTTTTGAATGAAAGGTTTGTTAGTCATGTTCTTCATATATTTCACGTCCTTCTCTTTTTCCTTCATTAAATATGGGGTTCAACTATTAGTTTTCTCTATAGTTTTGAAATGGCCCATTAGATTGCAATTAGCTAGCGGGTAACGCTTTGTAAGTATTGAGGGTGTTGCATTGGAATATGCATTTTAATTGCTAATTGATAACATGGAATGTATATCCTATAGCTATTCTTTTTTGTCCTGTATATGCTACAGCTTTATACTTGCTTGATTGTGATTTGCATATTAACTTGCTACCTCTTGGCGAGATTTTGTGATGCACATGAATGTGGGTGGGAATGGGTCGGGTGGGATCCGAGTTGACCCCAACATGGACCCGACCCAACTAGGTCTAAGTTGGACACGGACTTGACCTGGACCAGGGTCCCACCTGGTCAGGTGGGGTTCGCGTCTATAAATAAAAAATATATGAAAATTTATCTCCAGTTAAGAGTGGCTTGCTTAAAGTAGAAAGCTCTAATAGGGCAAGGGGAAGACCTAAAAGGACATGGATGAAAATAATCAGAAGAGATATATTGACGTATGGTCTGATTGAGGGACAAGGCTCGGATTATGATGACGATTATGATATAAAATTTTTTGTTATATATTTTATATTATACATTTGGTTAATGTTATTCATATGTGTCTTATACTAATATACACTTGGGGGGGGGGAGGCTGGACGTGAACCCACAACCCGACCCTGGTTAGCTCAAGGTCAAGTGGACCCAGATCCGACCCATCAGGTCTATTGTTTGGGTTCAGAACTAGACCAGTTGGGTCGACCCTTCAGGTCCACTGGTCAACCCTACTCATTTCCCGTCCCTGCACATGGAATGATGACTAGTAGTCTAGCACATCAATCTTTTTCAAATTTGTCAATTATGAGATTAGTGGATAAATCCCTTACATCGTTTTGTATGATTTTTAGATGCAAGATTGCCTCTTTATTTAGGATGGTAGGATGGGGGGGGAGGCTGGACGTGAACCCACAACCCGACCCTGGTTAGCTCAAGGTCAAGTGGACCCAGATTCGACCCATCAGGTCTATTGTTTGGGTTCAGAACTAGACCAGTTGGGTCGACCCTTCAGGTCCACTGGTCAACCCTACCCATTTCCCGTCCCTGCACATGGAATGATGACTAGTAGTCTAGCACATCAATCTTTTTCAAATTTGTCAATTATGAGATTAGTGGATAAATCCCTTACATCCTTTTGTGTGATTTTTAGATGCAAGATTGCCTCTTTATTTAGGATGGTAGGATGGTTATTATCAATAACAAGAATTTATTGGATGGAAATAGCACGTATATGGACATAGAGGAGGGCTTTCTTGGAGTTAAACAAGGTGATCTCAATGACTTGAAGAACAACGAGCTTTCATCAAAAAGCTATTCTCTTCATTGACTCCACTATTAGTGTGGGAGTTTACCAAATCATTAGTGATGACAAAAGGATTTTGAGACGCATACATAAAAGTTCACTCTAAAGATCGATAGTCATCTTCAGGGCACGAAGACTTTGTAAAACACATTTTCTGAATACAAGTTAAGGCCCAAAAGCCCTCAGCACCCCCAATTATGTCCATAGAAGACTTCAAGAGGCCAAACTTAAGACCCAAAGATGTGTTGGTCTTAACTGCCAATGAATCACAACAAAGTAGGGAACCTGAGTAAGCGAGTGATGTCGTTCTCTTTTGATCCCTACGAAGACCTCAAAAGCCCCTAGGGGCTGGATTACCATGTGAGCAACAATCGGAAAACTGATGGCCGTTTGGAGGAGCTAGAGCTAGGTCATGAAGAAGTGGTTCATGAGAAATTTCCCACCTTCTGGGCTCTAAGTGAGTCCAGCAGTCTGACATGCTGAAGTTGGCGACTACCAAATACAATAAAAAGAAGACTAACTTAGCAGTCATTTACATCATATAGAAGTTTCATACACTGATTAATGTCATGTTACCTCTGGAAACTAAACACTGCTTCAAAATAAACATAAGCTGCATTTATAAAGAAAAGGCAAGGGGTTGGATTGGATGTTCTAATCAGGTTAGGCTTAGGATATATGAGTTCTAAAGGGTTTATGTTTCGTGTAAACTTTAGTACACATGGTTTTTAGTGTATCAACGTCTCCTAGTTCAAATTGGGTTCAAGAATTCAAGGTGTCTAAATAGTGTAGAACTGATGGCAAGATGATAGGGAAGGGTTAGACATGATTAGGGCGGCATATATGGTTAGGCTTAGAAGGTGTTAAGTGGGCCAAAGTTGTTGGAAAATTCCATGTCCTGCTAGGGTGACTGATTGATTTGAAGGGAATGAGCCAAGAGTATATGCTAATTTAGGGTTGGAGGGCTTATGGGTAATGCCTTTTTGAAGGAGGTGAGCTATGTCATTAGGGCTTGGGAAGGGTCTATTTGGTGGGGAATAAATAAGGTGTTATATTTGGCTATGGAGAATCATGGATGGGGATGTGTTACCCAAGAGGGAAAGACAGGCTCTAACTTGTTGGGGAGACTCTCCCCATCTTAAGCTGGAGTTGTAGTAACTCACTTTACGAAAGGAGTTGAGGAATCTCTTGTGGAGGTGAAATAATCACTCCAAATCTGGCCTCGCACCACAAAAAGGAAGAACTCAATATTTATTCTATACGGCAAATAGGGTCCTAAATCTGTTTATAGAGATAGAACCCCTATAATTTTGTTTTATTGGATTCAAGCATTATCTAGGCTTCAAGATTCAAATTAGGAGCTAGATCTGTTATAAATTAAGAAACTAGTCCCTCTGTTTTTGAACAATTGGAGACTAGTCCCTCTTTAAAATATGGATGTCACCAATCCTCTATAACTTTTCTAGCAAAATGGAAAAACCAACTCCAAGTACCAGTTTGGAAAGAAGAAACTTACTAGACAACATTAAAGTCCTCATACTTCCTAACCTAGTTAAACTGAAATCTAATACAAAAATCTGTAATTAAATTTGTCACTATACTTCATACCGTGATTTGGGAGTTGCCTGAATTAGAAAGGATCCATACAGACAAGGGTGGTAGAACTCAAAGAAAACATCAATTTGAGCTTTGGATTGTCTTCAGCAGTCATCGGGGTGAAAAGTTATGATTCAAGAAGTGGTCTGCATTGAAGGGGAAACGTGTCCATGTTGAATCATCCTACTTTTAGTCCTCGTCTTATCATTTTCCCTAGAATCCTGCACAAGACAACCTTGATTAGAAAAGGAGACACACTTAGACCAAGCATTTTTGGGAGCATAAAATATGATAGACAAGGTAAGTGAGGGACATGGAGGACAATGGTTCAATATTGAAGACGTGAAGAGTAGTGCCTTAAGTCAAACATGCATGGATGAGTGCTGTCAGTTGTCATATGATGGGAGACATTTGTATCTGGAACTGATGAAGAGGGAGCATTACCCAGTAGGTACTATCAACTCTGTTCTCAATTTTCCCTAGTTGTCGAAGGTGTGGTACTGGGAAAGGATGCAGAAGGTGCTTTGATAAATCTTGTTCTTTTGGGCTTTTTGGGGATTAGTAATAGCATGGCCTATTTTCCTTGCGATAGTTGCTTTATAGTGTTCGTGCCATCCAAATAATCAAAGTATGACAGAGTTGAGCAATCGGCACAACAGTTGGCATTTTAAAACGTTTAGATAATACACAACGAAATTCTTTAAAAGGCTGCACCTGGAACCAGCAAATTTACATATTCTTACTACAACACAATGCTTCAATGAAAGACAATAAATGTGGGGCAAATCTTCTCAATATTGAAGCCACCATTGCAAGAGCATAATGCATAAAAGAGGAAGTGATTATAAAATATATAGTACATATAAGGTAGAGAAATCCTAATTTAGGACGTACTTATTGACCAATAGGGAAAATGCAATATTTAGCTGACACCCCTAAACTTTTACAAAATCCTTAGAGATGGTGCGCATCTTCTTCTAAAACTGCATCTTACAAGGTTTTCATGAAAGTGAGATATATAAAAAGAGTATCTTCGAGTCCACCTGTGCAAGATATGAAATTTGAACATCAGGAATCGAGCCACTGGCTTGATGTTTAGAGCATTAGCATAAACCCCCCCCACCACACACACACACAAACAAAAAAAAAAAAAAAATTCACACTTATATATACAATAAAAGGAAAAAGAAGAAGGAGTACTTGATCTGGTCCATCATGCTTTGATTCTGTAGTGGATGCAGAAACCCTTAAATAACTGAGTAAAAGACAGAAGAGGCAAGCTAATCCATGTGGATTGGATAATGGTTGTGTTTCATCTAACAAAGCTATCTCATGCGGATCATATACTCCTCAAAAAATATAACTGCAATAATTTAATGTTATGGTTTTGAAGTCTATAGATTGTGAGAGTTCAGTGATTGTGCTCATTAACATTTTGTGGTATTGTGCTCTTTTAACATTTTTTGTGACTCCAAAGTGGGGTATGGAATATAGGGAACATTTCCAATACTCATTGCGAGTACAATGTAATGTACTCAGACTGCCCATCCACCATCCATGCTTTTCTATGGATGGTGGAAATGATGAGCCATAGTCCTGTTATGAGTCCATCTTTTTCATCAGTGAAGCAGCTTCTTATCACCTGGTCAATAGATAAGTATGGATGGTGGATGGCTGGTCTGAGTACCTTACACTATACTCAGCTTGAGGATATTGCATATTCCCATATCCCTTTGGGTTACCGGTCTACATGGATAGAATTGCCCTTACAACTTAGAAAGACGTAAAGGACCACAAATGGATGAGAAAGATAATGAAATATAGTATATAAACATTCAAGGGGACCAAAATCGAAATTGGACCCTCTAATTTATCAATCCAAGGATACAAATAAAAAACCTTTTTTCTATGAATTTCAAAAGGAACTGGCCAAGGTCTTCCTCCACGTTTAATTTCGATGGCAAAGTCTATTTGTCATTGTGGGATATGGGAATAGTTTATTTAATTTCTGTTGTATGCTGGGGTGTATAACGTAATTGTCATTCACACTGTGCTTTTCATGTAGCCTAAAGTGATAATACACCATAATGAAAATGATGTTGGCTTATCGAATTGAGGCTCTCGCTCGCCTCTGTTGTAGAATTACTTTCTCTGTCGAAGTACGTGGGGACCTGTTCAGAACCTTTTTTTTTTTGAGAAAGTTATCGTTAAATTGAAAGAGAAGTTTGGGCTATCCACAAACGCGGAAGTGCCAAGTACAAGGAGTATTTTCAGAACCTTTTTGTTTCAGCAGTGAGAACAAACAAATGAATTGAAGTGCTTCACTATCAAAAGATTAGAACAAATTTTGTGGGACAGTGTTTTATTCCTTCTTGGTCATGTCTTTTGCTTCGTACATGATTAGAGGCAAGAAGCCATTAAAGTTAATAGTATCGCTTTGTTTCTATTTTTTTGATGGTTACTTAGGCATACAACTACTATGATAAATCTAACTCATAAATGCCCTTGTATAGGTTATTTCAGGTGACTTGGCTAACCAATATTGGTTATATATATGACCAGCACAATCTCAGTAAAGTACGTCCATCTTTCTTTTTGACAGTCTACTTTTTTTGCACTCTGGCTAATGTTAGTTGATCCTTAGCCTAACATACTGATTTCTTGCACGGTTTCTCTCTAAATTGGTTAAAATTCATGCAAGTGATTTTCAAGGTCAGAGTTGCAGAAGATGTTATGCTTGATGACAATAAGGATCTTGCTGACTTATTTATTTCGACTGAAACTAGCCCTTGAAATACTGTCCCTTAATTTGGTATTATGCTATCACTCAATAATTGAAATTGCAGACAGGTGATGTCCATTTTCATTAATGAACTATGCGCATATGATTCTTGTGACTTCCATGGAATTGATGTGGACTTGAATAGGCAACTGAGTGCATAAAAGAAACTGAGTTTGGATGCGGATTAGTGAGTATATAGAGGTTTTGCTATGTGCATCACATATCATATTGGCATAAAACTCTTGTAGAGCCTTATTTCATGATTGACCTGACCCATGACAGTTTGCTTTTTGCTCAAAAGATACCTAACCGATGTATGTATTCTCTAGTTTAAGATAGTAAGGCTCATGCTTATGGCACATGCATAACCACTTGAATGGAGGTCATAAAGTACTTTAGGTCGTACTTGGAAAACTTTGATTAAAACGGGTGGTCTGATCTTATCCCCATTGGATGTTTGTGGAATACAATTCCATCTCCAATCTTTTTGGGCTACAAATCTGGCCTAAATCCTGCATCCTTTGACTGAAGTTATTCGTTTAAGTCGCTCAACCTGAAAGGTAATGACAAGTGGTCAATAATCTATCTAGTCAAAGCAATTTCTTTGGATCTCTCTGTTTTTTATTTCATCTTTCTCGGGATGCTATCAATAGAAATAAACCTATTAATCTGAGGTCTGATGTGTTAATTATTGAAGGCAGGTTTCTGTGTTTTGGTTCTATATGATGCTGACATCATAAATATGATTAACTTGTGTCTATAGTGGTTGTCTTTAATGTATCTCCATCTCTTTCTCTTCCTCTAAACTGAGTTCAGTTCTAGCTTGTTAGACATGTTATATCTTGTAAGTTAACAACATGTTACTTTGTTCTGATCATTGGATGGGTCCACTTGGTGTGGATATCCTTGCAGTTTAGTTGTTCTGTCAATTTGTCTTTTCTAAGGTTTAGTGAATTTTAACATTTTGGGGTTTAAGGCAACATGTCTTTTTTCTGCTCAGATATTTAGTTGTAAAAAAACTAAAATTTGTATTCCAGCTCATCATAGAGATTCTTTTATTCAAAGATTGTGGAATTCATTTGAAGTGCTGGGTTGAGGCCAGTAGTTTAGTACTCAAATTTTCTTTTTTATTCTGAGTAACTCTGTATCAGCAATAGTAGAATTTTCAGAGTGGCCTTTGGTATGGAGATAAGCCAAATAGGTAAACCACATTTCACGGACTTCATTTGATGTGTTAGTTTGAGGCAAGCTCTTTTTTTCTCCCCTTCTAATTTTCTTTGCAAGTACATTACTTATTGGGAGCAATTAGTTTATTCAGACCTTCATGCCTTCGCACATCAAATTTTTCTAGAATTCACTTGGGTTTCTGGTATTGTTATCATTTCCGTACCTGTATATCTGAAATATTAGGTTTACATTTTTTGAGTTGAAATTCTTTTTCTCCACTACAAGGACAATTCAGGCCAAATTCTTCCATGTTATGTATTGTTAAAAAATGAGAGGGATGATTCATTCAATATAATGTTTTCTGATGTGTTTCTTTCCTGTAGTACTTTATTCCTGTGGTTCTCTTTTCATTAATCTTGATAAAATTACCTGTATTTCATGTGCAGTTTGAGAAGTTCACTCATGAGATGAAAGATGGTTGGGGACTAGCAACTGATGGGAAAACTATATTTGGAAGTGATGGTAGTTCCACCTTGTACCAACTTGACCCAAAAACCCTCAAAGGTGCTTCCCATTGAAATATTTTGTATTTTGTGTATTATGCTTTTATTCTATTGTGATTTGGCTGTGTTTTTTATTATCTCAACTGGACTGCTGCACATAAAGGTTGACTGTTTGGGCTTCTTTATTTTCAATACTAAGATAAGAAAGAAAGAAAAGAAATGAGTATTCTCTGGACCACCCTGCTTGAACTGCCACTTACTAAGAAATTTGTTATGAACTTAATTTCAGATCAGATTTATTGATATAAATAATCCGTAAATCTATTGATATAAATAATCCATAAATTTTTTATTTGGTATGCATCAATCAAATTTAGAAGTCTCCTATTCTTGTTTGTTTACAGTTTCTGAATTTTGATGTGACCAGTGCAGGAAAAAGTAAATGTTAAATACAATGGTTATGAAGTACATAATATCAATGAACTCGAGTTTGTAAATGGTGAAGTGTGGGCCAATGTTTGGCAGGTATGCTGTAGATTATCCTTACTATACATGAATTTCTGCATAGAACTCCAGCTCTTAAATGCTGTTGAAGTTCAACAGCATTTAAGAGCTCAACATGTACAGATCCTTGATTTTATCTACAAGATTGTGAGCTGATCTTGCATCTCCTTGACTTCTTAGTGTACATCTTTGAACATTTGTGATAAAGTTTTGTTTATTATCAAAACAGAACAAAAATAAAGTGGCTTCTACCGTACTTACGCACAATCTGCTAAAGGGTAATCTTGAAGCCTTGGAACAGTTTTTTTAAAAAAATATTTCTGCCTAACGCAGTTTTTGCTACTCGGATTTCCTAATCTTTGAACTGAGCTTATTCCAACTCTATTTGAGCCTCTAATGATGATTTTAGAAATTGCCTTTCTCAATTTTCTTTCTGTTATGAATCAGCATCACCAAGAGAGAACCAATTCTCTATTTGGTCATCTGAGATTGCTGACTCATTCTTTGGAAAGTTTATGTTGTCTCTTGAAAGTTTCTAATTTCCTTAGAATGAAAAGTTTGACACGTATTTAGCTCGAAAGACTACAAAATTCTGATTTGCTTGTCTGATTCCTTCGACCACTGATCTTGAATTTCATCGCGGATCTCAGAAAAGAAAAAGGTTACAGATTTGGGGGAAAAGAAAGTTTTCTGTCTCTGAAATGATTTACTCCCATAAACAATTTATTGTAAGGGCAAAGCCTCAATTTAGTGGGTTACTAAAGAAGTTGAAGGCTTGGCTAAGATACATTTTTTTGAAGAAGTTTGCATAGAACTTCACAAATTTTCAAAGAATTGGGAGAACTGAGTCTATGCGAAGTCCAAAATGGTGGCTTTAGGAGTTCATGTGTCAACTCTTGCAACTACGTGCCACTCCTAGCTGTTACATTTGATAGTGGATACAAAGACTCGAGCAAATTTTCAAGCCAAAAAACAAGGAAAAATTGACACCTTCAACAAGCGACTTGTTTAAAACCAAGCTAAGTGAATAAGTTATAATCCTTTAAATGACAATTACAACTGTTTCTAACCTTGTAAAATAACTGTAAATAGACTCAAATATTAACCCCTTATGGGGCAATTACATATAAAGCAAGACTAGCTTATGAATTACACTTTCATAGCACAAATTACATAAACTATGTCTCAAAGCTTAAATACAACATACAACTGATCTAAACATAATTCTAAGGAATAAAATCAACTAAACAGGGAATTAGAATGCCAAATTAAAATTGGGAAGCCATGTGTTGAACCCTTTCTGTTGGGGCCACGCAATCGGGCCCTATAAGGACTTAATTTTGTCGCCCTTTGGATTGTAAAAAAATGGTTCAATCTCATAAGAGTGTTTAATCCAAATGGGAAGCAATTACAGACCTTAAAATCACTTCTTCAGATCTCAACACATTGACATTATGATCCAAAACAGAATATAAAAAGTTTGAATCGAATAGGATAACGAACAAGAGAGTTATGGCCAAACTACACACGGTGGTCCCTCAGATCACCAATACAGTCTTGTATGAAAGGATTATGGACCCCCATAAGTAAAAATATGATGAAAAACTTCTGGAAATTCAGTGGCACACTGAGACTAAAGTTTTTTATGGATTTGAAGCAAAGTAATCAATGGATACTATGCATGATCATGGATTCTCATGCATATAGGCTATAACTCATGAAGGACCACACTATGAATAAGTATGATGAGAAAGATGATCAAATGGGGATTCTAAGATCAATGAAACTTTTGTAAATTCAAAACTCCAACAACTATAGATGCTAAGAATATGAACTCATGAGATAGAAAAAAAAATTCAATGGAGTTTACTTTGATAAATGCACACTATGGACTCAAGCATAAGAAAGGAGGACCACCATCAAGATCACCATCAATGGAACTCTAAAAGCCTTGTGTGAAAAAAATGTGGGGTCTCTCTCTCTTCAATTTTCTCTCACAAAGCTCTAGAAAAAGGGGGTGGGGGGCACAAATTTTTCAAAATGGTTCAAGAGTTGAGATAGTTAGGGTTTGAGATCTCATGATGTGCTTTTATAACATGGGTAACCTTGGACTCAATCAACACCCTTGATGTAATAATCCAAGGCACATGAGAGGCTAATGTATCTAACCACCCATCTCCATCCAACCACTAGGATGAAGGGATGAGATTTCACACCATTATCACTCACCCTAACCCTAAGTTATGCCATTTTACCATTTTGTCCTTGACCCATGTTTTTATTCTAAATGTATCCAATATGCCCTTACAAAATCACCCTTAGTTTTTGAATAATGTGTTAGAGCAACCACCAAGGATAAAGGGCAAAGAAGTAATTGGCAAGGCTTAAGCCCTCTCATCAGTCAGTTTGTCCCCTAACTGCTTTCATCCACCCACTTCCCCCCCCCCCTTGGTGCCCCGCCTGGGTCTCGACCCCCTCGCCTCTCGTGCCTCCTGCCAGAGGGGTAATCTCCGCCTCTCTTTCTCCACTCGGGTCTCCCCTTCCTCTTGCCCCTGATGATTGCCCCTTTTCCCTTTCCCTGGCCTGTTCTGGTGGGGAGCCCCTTGGCACCCTCGTCCCTCCCTCAGATGATTCTAATTCCACCAAAGCTTTCGACGCTGCCCTGGGCGATACCCTCAAGGTAATCAAGGCGATGGGTATGGTTTTTCCCAGCCATCTGGAGGCCATTTCATTGAAATGACCTTTTCTTCCGAGCGAACATTAGATCCAAGGGCCCAAGGGAAATAGTTGATCTCATCTGCCACATCAACGCTGATCGTGATGGGCCATTTGCTGACCCCTCGAATGTCGATTTGCCTTTTTCGAGTGGTCGCCCCGTCACTCGTCTTATAGGGAGACGTTTTGCCTGCTCTCCCCCATCCATGAAGATTTTAACCTGGAACATTAGGGGCCTCGATGACCCTTTGAAATGCCGACACATGCTCAACTTCTGCGGCAACACTCGCCTGCGATCTTGGCTTTGCTAAAGACCAAAGTGCCTACTTCGTCGCTCCAAGACATGTATCAAACTTGGGGTCGATGTCCTTGCCAATGGCTGGCTCTACCGTCCAATGGTGCATTCGGAGGTATATGGGTCATTTGAGACTCTTCTCTTCATTCTTTCTCATCCTTTCTTATTGGGGGTTCCCGGTCTCAATCTCCCTTCTTAGGACATCAAATGGTTTACCATGGAAATTTTCTGCGCTGTATGGCCCCAACTCCCAAGCTCGAAGAGATAGTTTTTGGTCTGAACTCCAATCCATTGCCTTAGCTTCCCCCTCGACCTGGTGTATTGGGGGAGATTTCAACATTACTCGGTGGTCCTTTGAACGGAGCTCTAAGTCAAGGATTTCCCCCACGATGATGGTGTTCTCTGACTTCATTACCAGCAATCAACTGCTGGATGTACCCCTTCAAGGGGCTCACTTCACCTAGTCGAACCACTTGGAAGACCCTCTCTGTCTAAGCTGGACTGGTACCTCCTTTCTCTTGAGTGGGACGCATCCTTCCCCAACTCCCACTTTGTAGCCCTCCCCAAGCCCATCTCCGATCATTGGCCTATCCTTCTCAACACTACTACCCTGGGTCAAGGTCCCAAGTCCTTCCGTTTTGAGCTGTCTTGGTTGTAGGAGCCCCATCTCCCCTTCCTCATTGCCTTGTGGTGGCTTTCTTTCTCCCTATCGTTCGTGGTTGGCTTGGCTTTCGCCTTCAGCGTAAGATACAACTTTTAAAACTTGCCCTTAAGGATTGGTGCAAAAACCTTTCGGGGAATTTCTTGGCCCAAAAGCAGCCTTTTCTCGACACTATTCTCCGCCTTGATTCTCTTGGGGAATGTTCATCCCTCTCTCTTGAGCGTCGCGAAGCCAAGTTAGCTCTCCATTCCATTCTTCGTAAGGAGGAAATCTTTTGGGCACAACGCTCCAGGGTCAAGTGGTATAAACTGGGTGATAATATCACCGCTTTCTTCCATAAGGTTGCGAATTGTTGCAAACGTGACAATACTATTTCCCTTATCAAAGTTGGAGATCAGCATCTTGACCAACCACAGCTCACTGAGCAGGCCTTCATCGACTTCTTCCAGACCCTTTTCAAGGCGCAAGAAGGCCCGAGGCTTTTTATGTCATCCCTTAGTTTCAAGGCTCTCCCACCCGACAAAGCAGTATGCTTGGAATGCCCTTTCGAAGAAGCTGAAATCCTTGAAGCAGTCAAGTCCATAGGCCACGATAGAGCCCCTGGCCCCTACGGCTTCCCTGTTGCTTTCTTTCTTCAGTTTTGGGACACCCTTAAGACTGACGTGGTGGCTTTCTTTACTGATTTCCACTCTAGCGGAGTGATCAATAGGGCCATGAATGCTACCTTTCTGGCTTTAATCCCCAAAATCAAAGGTGCAGAGGAATTAAAAGACTTTTGGCCCATCAACCTAGTCAATAACTCTTACAACATCCTCTCTAAGGTTTTAGCCATTAGAATCCGTGAGGTGCTGAGTTGGGTTATCTCACCCCAGTCAAGACACTTTTGTCAAGGATCATCAAATCCTAGATGGTGCCCTTATTGCTCACGAATGCCTTCATACCAATCATTTGGCAAAAACCCATGGTTTGGTTATTAAGCTGGATTGGGAGAAGGTGTATGACTACATCGATTGGGATATTCTCGATGAGACATTATAGCGCATGGGCTTTGGTGCACATTGGCGGAGGTGGATGAGATGGTGCATCTCATCACCCACGTTTTCGGTTATCATCAACGGCACACCCAAGGGCCTGTTTCAAGCTTCTAGGGGTTGAGGCAAGGCGATCCCCTTTTGCCTTTCCTTTTCTCTATTGCTGCTGAAGTCTTTAGTGGTTCCCTTTCGGGTCTGTACCATGCTGACATAGTCAAGGGCTTCCAGGCTAGCCCCAGGGGACCTTGGGTCCCCCACCTTCAATACGCCGATGACACCCTCCTTTTTTGTGATGCCTTGCCTGATCAGGTCCACTACCTTCGCATTTTTCTCAGATGCTTCCAATGGGCTACAGGCTTCAAAGTTAACCTTGCCAAGACCAGTATGATGGGGGTGGCGATGACTTTGGAGTCGGTGTCTATTTTTGCTGATCTTTGGGGCTGCAAAGCTCAACCTTTGCCTGCCTCTTATTTAGGTTTGCCCCTGTGTATCAGGAAGCCTAAAGCAAGTCAGTGGTCCCATATTATCGATAAGCTCGATAGGAGATTCACAGGATGGAAAGGTCGTTTCCTCTCCGTTACAAGTAGACTCACCCTGATTAAGGCGACGCTCTCTAACATTCCTATTTACCAAATGTCCCTTTTCCGGATCCCAATCTTTGTTGCAAATTGGCTCGAACAACTCATGAGAAATTTCCTCTGGTCTGGTACCGATGGAAGGAAATTTCATCTCATTGCTTGGGAGATGGTTTGCACCTCGAAATCCCTTGGAGGCCTGGGCATTCGCAACATTAGGAAGACCAATGTTGCACTCTGGTAAGTGGTGGTGGAGGTTTGCATCCCAAACAGATCACTTAGGTCAAGAGGTGGGCCATCTCAAATATCGGTGCCCTCCCGAGGCTTGGTTCCCTGACTCCAGGGTCCCCTACATTGCCTCAAGTATTTGGAAGGGTTTCCATTCTTGCCTTCACCGCTTCCTCTCCCATATCCTAGAGAGGGTAACCGTATTGCCTTTTGGTCGACATTTGGTTGGGCCACACCCCACTCAGGGACTGATTCTCCACCCTTTAGCGGTTGGCTAGAAACCATTTATCCACCATTGCTGAGAATTTTGAACCCTCCCCCCGGTGAAGGGTTTGGACCCCTACCTTCAGAAGGCCCCTTAGTGACTCCGAGTTACCTGATTATCTTGATTTGCAGATCCTGCTCCACGACTTTTTCCTCCGTTCTTCGGGTTTCGATAAAGTGGTCTGGACCCTTTCCCCTTCAGGAGTGTTTTCGGTTGCCTCTTTTTATAAGGCTTTCCTCTTGTCCTCCCTTCCCCCCTCTGCTCTCCTGCCCACGTTGCTGCTAAGACCTGGGATTCTCTGGCTCCCGCTAAAATCACCTTCTTTATTTGGGTGACCACCATGAGAGGGCCTTAATTGTGGACCATCTTCAAAGAAGGGGCCTACAACTACCCAACAGGTGCATCATGTGTAAGAAAGAAGCTGAAACCAATGCTCATCTCTTTCTACATTGTGAGATAGCATCTTTCCTCTGGAACTCTATCCTCCAAATTTTTGGTTGGGTTTGGGTCACCCCTCAGACTGTTCCACAGCTCTTCTCTTCTTACCTTTCACCCTCATGGGCTAGATCAGGTATTATTCTTTGGAAACCTTCTGTGGCAGCCTTACTGTGGACTATGTGGTTGGAAAGGAACCAGAGAATCTTTAGGGGAGAATTTTCTAATCCTGTCACGCTGATGGAAAAGGTGAGATCGTTGGTCATCTTTTGGGCAACCAACTCTAAACCTTTCAAGTGCTTCTCACTGGTGGACTTCCACCAAAATTGGGAGGCTATGCTTCAGTTAAGGCCTACCCAAGTTCCTCGATCAGCCTCTTGGTTACCTTGCAGTCCAGGGTGCATTAAGCTTAATTTCGATGGTTGCTCCCTGGGCATTCCTGGACCCTCCGGTGTAGGTGGCATCTATCGCGGCCATGCCGGTTGCACCCTCCCCTCGGTAGCTCAGACTCCACCAAGGCAGAGGTAATGGCCCTCCTTCATGGCCTTCAACACTTCAACAGGGGCTGGGGAAACTCTCTGGTGATCGAAGGAGATTCTGCCAATGTTATCGCTTGGGCATCTACCACGGCCCAGTGCCCTTGGAGGCTAGAGTCCGTGTTTGACGAAATCCAACATAGGTGCTCCCTCTTGCAAATCGCTTGGAGGCATACGTGGAGAGAGGCCAACTCCATCGCTGACTCACTAGCCAAATCTGGAGCTCTCGGCTCAAATTCTGTGAACTGTCCACCGTAGATCTCCTAGTTTGGTTTTGATCCTATTATAGCTTTGTACTTCTGCTGCCCTGTTATGGGCTTTATTTCTGGTAAAGGGTATATTACTGTCCTTCACCACTCCTTGTGGGAGGGCAACCTTTGTATTTTGTTTTTTCCTCAATACAAGTAAACATTCTCAAAAAAAAAAAAAACAAAAATCATCTGAACGTATGGAGCATGAAAGCTGCTCTCAAATGTCTTCTCCAAAGGGCCCAGAGCACATTACTTTTAACTTTTGAAGCTTCACGCTCATCTTTGATTTGTTGGGCTTCATCTTATATTTTCTGATTAAGCCGTTCAATTTAAAGTTTCAAAAGGTTTGAGTGTTTTGTCTGTAATTTGTCACTTTAACACGAGACAACTTTATTTGTTCCCCCAAAGTATTATTTCAGAGTACTACAATTTTTTATTTTTATTTCAAAAAGACCCATGCTTTCAGAAGCCTGAACTTGGGGATCAATGTCCAATTTTTAAGTTCCATCAGATCCTGACTTAATCGAATTGAATGATTGAACCTTATTTTGCCACAAATTTCTTTCAACTTCCTCAAAAAATTTTCAGAGAATTTCTTGCCACTAAAAGTCTATAATAATGCTTGAGCTTCATTATTCATGGATCTTGGTGCCTCTCAACAACAATACCTGCTTGGCTATCCTATGTAATTGGATCTTCAAATTAGCATGCTTTGGAGGAAAAATATAAATGCTTCTTTATTATTTACGTTGTATAAACGCTAGTATTTATGTGATTCTCTTCTCAAATTTGCCATACTAATTTCTGCAGTCTGATTGTATCGCTCGAATTTCACATAAAGATGGTTTAGTCACAGGATGGATCCTTCTCCACAGCTTAAGGTTTGCTCCCCTGTTATGGTGTAAAAAAGTTGTAATGTCTATTGAGATGCATAAACTTTCATTGCAGCCTAGTAGATAACGTATATGTAATTTGACTTTTCAGGCAAGGGTTGATATCATCTGGGAACAAGGTAACTTTGGTGATGTTTTTACAAATATTGTGGAAGTCTTGTTTAGCATATGATATGACTTTTTCTCCGTTCAAGGATACATGCATGCTTGCTGCCTTGTATTCAATTATATTCTCCCAAGATGTCTCTTACTTTAGAGAGGACTACAATCTAGAAATTTACTTGGGAGCATCTTAACAAAAGAATAGCTAGATCCTTCAATGTTATGCCTTTAAAGGCTGTTAGGTCATGGAATATGGTATAGTTATTGCCATATTTGTTATGCTATTTGCTTCAGTGGTAAAATGTGAGGGTGTATTGAGCCAAGTCCAAGTGACACAATTTAAAAAAATTTCTCATTACAATTCGATAGTATTCTAATTACATGAAACTTTCATCAATGTAGAGTATTTCCAGCTACCAAACTTGGCATCTTACACTTGAAAAGAAAAATAACAACTCTAATTAGTCCCTTGACAAAGTCCAAAGATCAATTTACATTGCCAAATTATATATCACTTTAGAATTTCATCAAACACATTGAAGTCAATTTCCTCCATCAAACATATATTCACATGTTCATATTGGATTTGATCATGGTAAGCCATATATCGAGCTCATTTTGCATGGCTTATGGCCAAGGATTTAGGATGACTTCTATGATGGCCATAAGATATAGGGCCATAATGCATCAACACAAGGATATAAAAAACATTGCATACTCAATTTTTTATGGTACAAAACATTTATCAAATCAAAATTACAGCAAAGAATCAATGGGAAGCCAATAGTCGAACCCTTTGTGTTTGGGTCACATAAATGGACTTTTTAGGGACTTAATTTTGTCCTATGGATGATAGCACGGATGGCTATGATACACACCTGATCCCACTTATATGATGTCAGCTTGCGCACACTTAATCACCACTCAATTAGCTTCAATATGAGAGAGAGAGAGACTAGCTTTTAATGATGATAACAATTTATAAAACCAGGCATGGGCTGCTCACACAAAATGGGAGTATATAACAATGATCTACTAAAATAGGTATGGTTTCTCAAGGGAGATGATCTATGATCATACTCTCACCCAATGTAACTCAAAGGACCATCAAATGCTTGTAGATATGAATAAAAAATACCAAAAAATTCTCAGAGAAAGCAGGTGATAAATTTTTTTAGGAAAAGGTGCTTAAATTGCAAGATTATGGTTTAGACTATGCACGTATAAAGGAATAGATGCGTAATTTTCAATGGATGCTCAATACTCGAGGAAGATCAATCAGGGATTCATCAAATGCTACTGTAATTCCTAATTTACAGCAAGCATAAATGATGGCGTTGAAGCTTTTCAAGGAAGCAAATAAAACTATAAGGATTACGTGGAGAGAAAATATAATAGTGCTTTAATGGTGATTTCCTCTCTCTTAATTCTCACACTTCTTCTTCTTACTTTCCCACACTTGGGATATGTTGATCTCATGAAGAAAAGGGTAAAGAAGCATAGAGAGGGCGCGCCACTCAAAGTGGGAATCTCGCTCTAAAATCAAGGAGGTATCGAGAGAGAGAGGAGAAAGGAGATGGGCATACTACTCAAATGTGGGTTTCTCTCTCTAAAGACTTTCTTATGGAGGAGAGAGATAGAAAACTTGGTGGGGCATTCCCCTTCGAGAGAGAATGAAGCTTATGATTTATATGAAATGAAGCCAAGTAGGGTATATATAGATAAGTGGTAGTGCGGCATTTTAAGTGATATGATCTTAGCTCTTGATGCTCATCATTAATGGCACATGAGAGGGGCATGATCGTAGCTATACATCCTTATCTAGCCATCAAGATGAAGGGATGTGATTTCATACAATTGTCACTCCATAAATCCCTAGATTATGTTAATTTACCACATTGGCCTAAGGTCTTAAATAATTTTCTCATAAGCCATTTCACCATTCCAAAATTGCCCATCCAATTTTTTTGAAATAATGAGAAATGAAAGGGGGAGGGGCATAGCTCTTAGGTAAGTTGGCAACTATATTTTGTTAAATGCTCAAATAGAATAATTCTCATAGATCATCTAGTCACAATGTGCCATTAGATAGATTGCACTTGGGCTTAGCCAATAGGATGATGCCACTCAAAAAGGTGAATTAAGATAAGGTTTCCACCAACTACTTAGGGTTTCAACCTTATTTTCAAGGCTTGCCCTCAACCCTAACCCTAAGCACTTGTGATCAAGGCATATGTGTGCTAATTAAGCATGTGATAAAATCAAATTTTAAACACAATTTTTTTCTCAAAGTTTATAAATGACCTTTTAAAACAATGTTATAAATACCAAAATAGGACCCCCCAATAGTGATGGCGTCTTGATGATGCCAGTGAGCAAGGGGGATAGTGCCCAACCGGCGTGTCCTTGATTGGAATTTTCCCCAAACAATTTCAAAACACTCATTTTCTTGGTCCAAAAATTTCTGAAAAATTCTAAAAAATTCACAAAAATTCTCTAAATCATTTTCCATAAAAAAAATAATCATTTTGGCATCAAAATAAAATTGGACAATATGGGTAAATGAGTTCTCATTATTAATATCTAGGCACCGGAGCACTCTATTGGGCTAGTTCAGTATGATGATCCGTTCTCTCGGAATGATCCAACAAGCCTATGCTCCACAGCTCTAGCAAGGGCACAAAATATGAGTTATCAAAGTTACCCCAGTCAATATTCTAACACTCTAGGGTGTCAGTGGATTAACCCTTGGGGATATTGTAGTGCTCATATGCAAGGGCTCTCTCAAGGCACATGTGCACTATAGCTCTTCCTAGTTGGATCATAATACATCAGAAGAGTGGTTTCCCATGAGTGCACATGCCATAGGGTGGTCAATTATTAGGGTACCGACTCATGTCCCTTGAGTCATGACCATCCTATATAGGGTCATTACACTTAAGGTACTCGGGTTTTGATATCTTTTTTGTTCTCTTAGCCCTAGCGAACACATTAACCCGAGGTATGCTGTCTAAGTATATCCCTGACTAGAGTTGACCTTCACACCTCTAAAATATGATCTCATTGCCTTATTTACTCTGGGTATATGATTCAGGGCCCCAGTGCACCAAGCACCTAGAATCATCTTCTTTTACTCATTCCTACTGATTGAGAGAATCTTGGTTTTAAGGCCCTGAGAGGCCATAACTCCAAAATGTACTGCAAGGTGTACAACTATTGAATTTTAATTTGATTTTTGTGAATATCATGTTGTGGATAGAAGTTATGTCTCCTTCATTTGATGGATTTACTGCAAGTCTTCTGTCCGAATGGCCACAAGAGTTAGGATTGAGTCAATTGACCCATGGGCTGTGTTCCTTTCTGCCATCCTAACAGCTAGACCAAAATAGATAATTACTGATGAGATTTCCGAATCAAAGTTTGGTTATGCGCATGAATGAAAGTAGCGTTTGGTGCCCCTTTGTATTGTCTATCAGAATTCAGAATAAAGGAAAAAGTGCCCAAGTGTTAATGGTTCGGTCTTTCAATCTTTTGCTTAACCCTTATCAACAAGGAACCTAAAGTTTTGGAGCACTGAATAAAAAACTCTAGTCATCATATGAAATTTGGAGGTCGAACATTCATAAGTGGCAGTACGGTCCCGCTCCTACTTCCAAAGCTTATTGGCATTTCTGGTAATTTACAGGATTTTAAGGATATAGATTTTGATTGTGAACCTGTTGAATGGAAAGTTGAGCCAATATTGAGACATAAGGACCAGCTGATGAATTGCCAAAGAGAAAAATAAAAACAAGCTGGTATTGTGGTAGGTAAGTTCACAAGTGCCTTGCATAAGGAACAATTTTGTTATACTGTATTTAGAATGTAACTTTGCATAGTTTGTTGTTTGTTCTAATGGCAAACTTGTGAATGTTCTCATGTTAATATGGGGATTTTGAACATAAACATTGTTTACACATCCCCTATTTATAATAGCCTTGTGGGGTTGACTAAACGATTCTTCTACTCTATCCTTGTTATGTCAACAACAAGAGGGTGATTTCTATAGCTCAACATCGTTCTTTTATGACTCCATCATTTGTTACTTAAAATTTATTCGGAATGAGATCTGTTATTCCATCATATGTTGTAGCATTCCAAGTTTTGGTATTGATAGCATTTATTGTACTGAACGTGCGTTATTTGTATAGCGGCATTGTATTCCAGCACATAGTGTTTTTAATTTTGATTTCTCATGAATCCTTTACAAGTTATCATTTATTTTTTGTATTACGGCATTGATTGTAGCACATAGTACCTTTAGTTTTGATTGTTCGTGATTTCCCTTTAAGGGATTGTTCTGTGTCATGATTTTCCAGTTTCCAAATATATCCTGCATGTAGCAGCAGCTTCTGAAGGGTTTTCTTCTTTATTTTTTCCTTCTATAATTATTTGAAATGATAGTTTCTTGACCATGACATTCACAGATATGCCTCAAATTCCTCATGATTCGCATAATCTTTTATACTTATTTGAAATGATAGTTTCTTGAACATGATATTCACAGATATGCCTCACATTCCTCATGATTCGCATAATCTAGGTTCTTGTTATAGATGTGCTCTGTTTAGAATGAAGTCCAGTTTGAGAGAGGTAATATTTCCAATTTTATTTTTTCTAAGATTGTTAATATTACAGGGTATTGATGTTCTCAATGGCATTGCTTGGGATGAAGAAAAGAACCGCCATTATGGTAATGTTTCACACACTGGTTTTATACATTAACTCAGCTTAGAAGCTGACACTTGGAGAAAATAGAGTTTGGAGAGAATCCTTTTTGATATTTTTGTCGAAAACTTACCAAGCTGAAAATGGTGTGGCTTGGCTGTATTCATAGAAATACACCAATTTGATTACACATCAATATCGAGCAATTCCCATGAAACTTAGATGATGACATCTCCTTACTGGCCAAAGACAGTCCTATGACTGCTTGAACATGTAATCCATGAATGGGTTTACAAGCTTGTTCTGGCTAGACCTCACACATGCTCTCTCTCCCTCTCTCTCTCTCTGGCTAGACTGCACACAAGCTCGAAACTCTTCTATTAATGCTTAAGTTTATCAAGCTTTGATTTCTAAGTCGCCCTTGAAAATCATGCATGTTGAATGGCATTCTGCAGTTACTGGGAAGTGGTGGCCGAAGCTTTATGAAATCAAGCTGCATCCATCAGGTCCAATGAAGAAAGACATTATGGAAATTTGCCAGCTAAGGTAGCACGGAAGCTCCCATTTATACCCTTCTTTTGCCAAACTACATCTTCATGAAGGTAGATGCGAGTGACTGGTGAAACCAATTTCAATGGCTGGGATGATGATGAAAGCAAAGATGGCTGCTAGCTAGCATACATGTCGAAGGACAAATATCACTCATTTATTTGTAACTTATTTTCTCATTCTGATTTCGTTATGTTACATGACGGTGGGGGATCCAACATCCTAGCCTGATAAGTGATATGCAAAGGTCACTTCACTTGTATATCCAAGTTGGTTATGAGAATAATTAAAGAGAACATCAATCCTCTATTCCGATGGAAGTTTTCCAGAATCTCTGTAGTTGACAAATAGCTTCTATGGACACTTATAGCGCATTGAGCCAAATGAAAGTGATTCAATCGATAAATTAAAAGGTGTGGTTTGCATAAGGTTGAAGCCCTTGACAATCAAAGTAAAGTGCGCTTTGAAATAGTATTGAAAGATGTCATTTCATTATTGAAAACATTTGTGATGTCTTGAAAATTTGTTTTCGTCTTTAATTATAAAATTTAAAGTTTAAAAAAATGATGTAAATTGAACAGATCTATGAACACTTAATAATCTTGAAAATTGATGGTCCGAAAAATGCATTACAAGATACACTATTTGCTAGACTTGAAATCTATTTTTTCTCACATTTTTTTAAAAAGTGATTAGTATTGAGTTTAAAGGGGTACAAAAAAGTCACCCCAAAAGGGGTGCACTACACATCAATTCAGGGTAGCCCACCAAGCAAAAATATGGGTTGGTGACAATGAAGGCCATTCGTATACACAAAACAATTACAAAGGTTGGACTGCATCCAAAATACTGCAGAAAAGGAGAAGCGCCTGGCTGGGGAGATCATTCATAACTTTAGAGATGCTCTTGTTCTTGCTAGGTCAGCTTCGGAGTTAGCTTCGCGCCACGTGTGTTTCCAAGAAACATTCAGATTTATAAGGAGAAGCCTCCATGGTCATGTTGAAGAGTTTTGTCGCCAATGAGATAACATTCCTTGAGTCACCTTCGATAACCAAATTTGGCCCCCAATCAAAGTTCGGCTTGCGGCCCTCGGGAAAAGCACGTGATTCAGCTGTGGTGGAGTCAGCGATGCTGATTGGGGACGAATAGGAGAAAAGAGTTTCGTCTAACGAGTCCGTGAGAAGTCCTCCTATGACTGCAGGGCCTGGATTGCTGAGAGAACTGCCGTTAAGATTCAATTTGGAATGCCCTAACTCAGGCGGCCTCCACAGAGATGGCCTTGTGATTCTGGATGGCCTCAGATGGAACATTTCATTTCAAGTTTTTCTCACATTCATACATCTTGAGGTCAAGATGATTGACTTGAGGATTTTTGGTCATCAGAACAAAACCTCTTGTAGTGAATTTTTGAGGTGTCTTAATTTGATTGTTTATGGCCTTATCCTTATATAAACTTTTTCCTATATTAAATCCCCTTGAGTCAAAGAGTGGTGTCGGCTGCGAAATATGGAGTTCCTAGGGCAGGGTTGTTTTAGGTTTTGTTTACTCAGTCAGGGGGCTTGAAACCCTAACCTTTCTGAGAATGTTGACCAATGAGTTGCATATCTCAAGAATTTCCTCTAGTAATGCCTCAGAATCTACATGGCATCACTATGTCTTATTTCACTGAGCTGATAATATTCAGTAAGTTGCTCCCCTCTACCAAGGACTGAAGTTACAGCGAAGAGACTCGGCCTAAAGAATTCTGCTTCAAATAGAGCCAACCATGAAAGTTTCGAGGTCAAATGGTCCCTTGCTCGATATGGAATTATGGTGACCTCCATGAAATTGCCATCCATGGATCTCTTCTAGGTCTTATCACTGTGTAATCTTCCTCATGAAATCATAATGGCCTCCATGGAATTATGAAACTCCCTTCTGCCTTTGTGGTATCAGTATTCAGGACCAACTGAAAACCAAAAATTCAGGGACTATAGATTGCTTCCATGCCATCATCCACCAGCGAACATCTTTATTTGCATAGCGCCATGCTGTAGCCAAAGATAACAAGGTTAAAAGTATATATTAAGCTGCAGTCAAGGGTGACAGGAAGCACATGATGACATGTTTTATCTTCTATGCAACCCACACCAGTGCTTTCACCATTGGTGGCTTATCTTCCATGGACCCGAAACCAGTGCTTTCACCATTTAACAGTAACCACTGAAAACCCACCAATGCCTTTTTTCTTTTTCCATGGCTCCAAAAACTTAAAGCAGGTGTGGCTGGAATACTACGCATGGTAATGGAATAGTGCCACCTCAAGCCATGCCGTCTGTAACCGAGCCTTACTGATGCATCAAGGATGAATAAGCAATGGATCCATGCTTAAGCAGCAGCAAAGGTAACAGCGTATGGCAATCACCTGCAAGGCCCAACAATAGAGCCATTCTGAAGCAATCATGACATATTTCAAGGCCTTCGAGAAGTCAGTATCAATATAGCTCAAGCTCAAGCAATCATGACATATTTCAAGACCTCCGAGAAGTCAGTATCAATATAGCTCAAGAATCCATTATTTGAAGAAGAGGCCATGGATTGATCAGTTTTAATTCAACTGCATCAATCAGTTTTTAATTACCAGTAGTCCTGACAAGAACAGGTTCCATCCTTAAAGTGATGGAATCTCGTAGCATCCCTCATTATGATCTCACGACCAGTCACCTTTGAAATGTACCTAGTAGCAGTGTGACAATCACCACAAACTCGAAGGTTTTTCGTGACTCTGATGCAGGCCCCTGGAGGTGTGTTGAGAAGCCCAAATGTGATGGCCAATTTCTCGCTATGATGCCCAAGCATGTTTGCCTTCTCTTGCACTTGGACATCATGAAGCTCTGATTCTATGTCAGGTACGTAGCCTGCTTTTTTTAACTCCACCACTAACCTGTCCCACATTGCAAAAATCTCACTTGTTTGTGGGTTGTTAAGTTCACCCACTGTAAATAAATAGGAAGCATTATTTACAGTCACCCAACTACACCCCAACACTTTCTTCAAACCTTTATCTTTCATCATCTTCCTAACTTGAGCCACATCTTCCCACATATTTGCAGATGCATACATATTTGACATCATGACGTGGGTGGGTGCACTGTCGGGTTCTAATTTGAGAAGCTTATTGGCCACTATCTTGCCTAATTTGATGTTTTTATGGGTCTTGCAAGCACCAAGTAAAGTGGCCCAAATAACTGGATCAGGCTCTAGAGGCATATTATCGATGAATTCCTTTGCTTCATTGAGGAGGCCTGCTCGACCCAGAAGGTCCACAATACATCCACAGTGATCCATCCTTGGAGTTATGGAGTAATCTCGAGTCATGGAGTTGAAATGGCTTAGCCCCTCTTGTACCATACCTAAATGGGTGCATGATGAGAGGACCCCGATAAAGGTTATATCATCAGGAGTGTACCCGTTATGCAACAAGGCATCGAAAAGCCTCAGCCCTTCCCTTCCTTGCCCATGCTGTGCAAGCCCAACTATGATGGCATTCCATGATGATATGTTTCGCTCAACCATGCATTTGAAAACCTGACGTGCATCTTCTATGCATCCACATTTTGCATACAAGGTGATCATGGTGTTGGAGACTGATACATTCATGTCCAAGCCATGTTTTGTAAGATTTCCATGGAGCTGTTTGCCCATGGAGAGATCATTCATAGTGGTGCACGCATCGAGCACGCTTATGAAAGTGTGATCATTTGGATGCACGCATGCATTGCGCATGGCTTTATACAGTCCCATGGCCTCATGGCCATCCCCAAACTGCCCATATGCAGCAATAATTGCAGTCCATGATATAACATCTCTTTCATCCATGCCATTGAAAACATCTCTAGCAAGGTCTAAATCTCCACATTTCGAGTATGCAGTAAAGAGTGCATTGCTCACTGTAGAGTGAGAAGCCAACCCACTCTTATGACAAAGAGAATGAAGTTGTAATGCCACTTTAGAGCTACCCAACTCTCCTAAGGACCCAAGAATACTGGCCAATGTATGCATGTTAGGCCTAACCCCATCATGCTGCATTTCCATGAGCAATTCAATGGTCTTTTCTCCAATGCCGTGCTGCCCATAAGCTGCGACCATGGCACTCCAAGACACCACATCTCTCTCAGTCATCTCTTCAAACACTCTACAAGAATCTTCCAGAGCCCCACATTTGCTATACATTGTTAAAAGCGCATTTCCCACCACAACAAAGCATCCCAAACCGAGCCCTGTAATAACAGCATGGAGCATCATCCCCCCTTTTAGGCGACCATGAGAGAAGCCACAAATGGAGCTCAAGAGCCCTGCAAAAGTAAAATCATTGCCTTGCACACCCGAGTCTACCATGGAATTAAAAAAATCCCACGCTTTTCGATACTCCTGATTTTGCACAGAACCACAAATCATGGTTGTCCATGTAACCACATTTTTGTGAGGCATTCGATCGAACACCTGGACAGCGGCAGGCATGTCATTGCATTTCACATAAAGCGATATGAGAGAGGTTCCTATAAAAACATTTGAAATCAAGCCATTGATGATAGAGCATGCGTGGATCTTCTTACCATGGTCCACGGCTCGAGTTGCCGAGCACTCTTTGAGGAGCTTCACGGCCATGAAATTGAAGGATTCTGAGTCACTAGGAGCCGCAAATGGAAGAGTTGCAGTGCTTAGGCTGCTGAAGCCTCTGAGGTTTCGACACCCAACATTTGATTTTTGTGTGAGTCTTGGTTGTGCTGGTTTTACAGAGAGAAAGCTTGTGAGAATTCGGGACCCAAGAATTGATTTCAGTGTGAAGAGTGGGTTTGCAGTTTTCAGGGAGAGAAAGCTTATGAGAGAAGGGGGCCCAAGTTTTGACTTGGAAGTGAGGAATGGTTGCACTGGTTTTAGAGAGAGAAAGATGGACCATGTAATGGATGGGATGAAGTGGAAAATGTGTGATGATGGTGTGAAGGGTGGTGGTGGTGGTGGTATTTTTAGAGAGAGAAAGAGGGGGCGGTCGATGAGGGATGGCATGAACGATGTCTGGTTTTTGTTGAAGAACGGATAGTAATTTATGCGAATGGTTTTCGAATGAAAATCACATCATGTGTCATGGTTTATAGCTGGCCTATTATCATTTCCCATATATTGGCATTTCTCTTAGCTCCAAAGCTCTTGAAATAGGAAATTTTGGAGCTTTTAAATTTCATGATCAAGGGGAAAAGTGGATTGTTAAGCCATGATAAAAAAATTTCGATACTGAAACTACATTTTTTGAGACAATTTGGAGGTGCACCTTGTGATTATTTACGTTTGGTGCATTATACAAACCTCACCCTTCAAATTATAAGGAAAAAAATAAATGAACAAAACTATGCGTTGTTTTAATTTTAAAATTTACATATATCAAATTAAAAATTTTGAGAGTCCACGCTTGCATATCTAAGAAAATGGAAAAAAAACTAGTTTCAAAATATACAGTAACCAAAATACACATGAAATCAATGGTTTAAAAAACGGATCGGTGACCCAGATCGGGCTCCTAAAAAACAGATCCGGATCGGCGAATCGGCGATCCGGATCGGGAATCGGGTGAATCGGTCAGAATAAAGCTTCAAAAAAATCCGAAAATTTTATTAAAATTCATTATAAATATTGTTTTTTAGGAATTCAATAAGAAATGAGGGTATTCCATTAAGAATTTTCATGTTTTTGAATGAATATGCGAATATTGATATGTTCTTTCCCTGCATGAACCGCCATTCAGCATTTAATTTACATCATGGACTACAATAAAGCATAAAATTAGTAACATACGATCTAAAAATAAAATGATAGACGACGTTGTTGTTCTTCTTGGTCACACTGGTGCTATTGATTGAATTCGTTTGACAATTCATTGATTTGATCTAAAAACGAATCATCGATATTAGCGGATGTCTGACTATTCCCAAATCCCTGAGTGTTAGTGTTTTGTTGTGTTCCCAATCCAAAATCCCCGAAGCTTGTCCATCCTTCATGCTCACCTGCACTGTCGTGCTCATCCCTACACTGTTGCTGTTAGGACTCGATATGTGAATAATATGGCTGGGATAGGGTGGCCTCAGAATCATCATCTTTCTCATTTTCTCTTAGACCCCGTTCCCACTCTCCCTCATTAGGTGCAATATCACCGACATATTGTGGATACATTGGCTGGCTGCTTTCTCTTTCATGCTGCTCATCACTTTCTTCAATATCTTCATCACCGATAGCCTCAAGGAACGCTCTCTTGTGCAACACTGGCTCCTCCTCTTCTACTACCCATTGGTCTACTGTGTCTGTGACAAATATTGTGTATAAGTCAATCGGCCCATAGTCTTCAAGCTTCCTTCTTATTTGTCGCTCTCTGAGGTTTAAATTATAATGCACGTAGACTAGTTTATGAAGCTTCTCAGAAGCGAGTTGATTCCTCCTAGTAGTGTGCAACCATTGGAACGTACTCCAGTTGTGCTCACAGCCAGTAGCAAAACATGTCTA